CCAAAGCAATACCCTTTTGTATTAATAATACATTTTAGACACTCGTCGGGCTAAGCTTATGGGCCAAAAACACTGCTTTAAATCACAAAGATTTATTTCTAAGCATGAATATATTTTTTTTAATTTTTTTTTTAGGTATTTTAGTGATTTACTTGAAAATTAAAATAGTTATCTTACATTTTACCTTCTGAAACTAGAGTTTACAAAACCAAAATATCGTTTTGTTATCGATATTTAAATTCAATTTTTTAAAAAACTTATTTTTACAGATCCAAAATGGTTTGTTTATGTTTTTTATTTCTTATTTTTAATGAAAAAATATAAAAATTAAGGAATAAAATATATCTAAATATTGTATCGCCAATCTATAATTTTCTTATCGATATTTGTTATTTTAAAAGGTTATAAAAACTATTTTAAAATAACTACAAATTGCTTAACACCTGTTTATTTAATTTTTTTATTTCTTATTTTTAATGAAAAAATATAAAAATTAAGGAATAAAATATATCAAAATATTGTATCGCCAATCTATAATTTTCTTATTGATATTTCCCATTTTAAACTGAAAATTAACTTAAAAAGGGAGACTTTTCTCTTTAACAAAAAATGTTAAAATATAAAAAAACCCTGAAACCTTTGAAAAAATCCTAAAACCTTTGATTTTCTTAAATATGTAAGACATTGTGCCGCCCTTTGGGCTCCCACTCGTGTGGCAAAGCGGCTCTATTAGGCTGATTGCCCTTCCGTTTTTCTCTTCTCTCTCCTCCCTTCATCTCTGTTCGAGTTTCGTTTGGCCATAATGATGATTATAATGGCCCGGGACGATGATGAGGTTCACTTGCCGACTGCATCATTAAATTATTATTGCTGGCAGCTATTTTTCAGAGAGCCGCCGTAGCGCACAAAAGCCACAAAAATTGGAAATCGCGTGTCTAATGCTCCATTCGAGATGCCCGCCGGTTGGGATCTCCTCCAGAGCTCCAATCTCTCGATAACTCTGGGTTCTCTGGGCTCTTTTTTTTTGTGGCCTAATGTGGCTTAATTATACAACAACAAAACTGTCTGTGCTCACTGTTACTGTTAGCCAAGAACGTTAACAAAGCGATGGCCCCGGCCCCGGCCATCAAATCCATGTCAAAAGTCCCGCTCTGGGAGTCCACAGTCCCCTTTGGAGTTTGGCCATCGGAAAGGAGATGAGACTGAGGCGAAGACCCCTGCCTTCTTTTTCCAGAGAAAACGTCTCTTGATAATTTGATGCAGCTTTTTTTTTTTTTTTTTGCACTCCTGTTTTCCTGCCCGGTTTTTATTCCTTCCTTTTTTTATTTTTTTGTTGTTGAATTTTTTGATGTCTGCCCCAAAACTTCCTTTTCTTTGGGCCCCTCTACTTGTGTTTGTAGTCCTGTTTTTTACCTCGCTGACTTGTCTAAAATTCCACAAACTCATAAATGTTGATGTGTCCCCGTCCCAGGTTCGTCATCGTCATCAATGTCGGGGCTTTTGTATGATGGACAATGGACACTGAGCAAGGGAAAAAATAATAATAATAAAGAAAAAGAGATCAATTCTTAATAGGAGTGCATATGGGAAGGAAAAGTTTGATAAAAATATAAATATAAAAATATGGCACTACAAATAATATCGAAAATAATTTAAATTATTATTTTTAGATTTTTTTTCAGTAAGAAAATATTTAAAATATTAAATAGAATATAAATTTATTGCTTATAAAATATAGAAAATATTTATATATCCAAGATATCGGAGGGAAAATAATTATTTTTTTTTTTATGTTTTATGAGATTTTTTAACGAGTTATTTTCCTACTAAAAATATTTAAATAATTTTAAATATTTGTATATTCAGATATTAAAAGAAACAGTAAAAACGAATGAAAACATATATTTTTCCTATTTTTTTTATGGTTTCTAACAAGTTATTTTCCTATTAAGGGGGGGGTAAGGTTAATTCGGTGCAAAAATGCCCACTTTTCAAAAAAATGTTGTGGCGAAACGGCTAAAGCTAGCTTAACGAATTAAATACCATATAATAACACAACATTTGAACAGTTTGTGATAAATTTTGTATTGAAAAATATTTAGAGGTAGAGGAGTTATAGGGAATCTCCCGAGTCGCCTCCAAAAAAGTTGGTTTGCGGTGTACATCCTAACTGTCCACAGAATCATCCGATCTACAAAAATTATACCTCATTCGTTAAAGGATAAGTGTCCCGAGGTATTCTCGAAGCGTTTTTATTTTTAAAATTTTTTCCCTATTTTTTATCAAAATTTGAAGTCAAAACCCCGATTTTTGACTAAAAAATTAAGTTAATTTGTTAAATAAAAAATATAAGAAAATTAAAAATTAAAAAAAGCTCGACGAGAATACCTGTAGAATTATCTAAAGAAGTTATGTTCCAAATTTCAAACCGATTGGTTCAGTATATTTTTAGTTATCGTGTACACCGATTTTCAAAATGGCATTTTTCAGGAGAGCGCTTTAAACTTTGTGATTCTCATGCATTGAACACCTACCGACCTTTGTCCAGCTCCGCATAACTTCGTCAATTTTACTATAATTGATGTAAAACTTGGACACAATATTCTTAAAATATTGAACTTTTAAAATAAAAAATAAAAAAAAATTTACGAAAAAAAAAATTAAATACCTTACCCCCCCCTAACAATATTTAAAATAATTGTAAAACCTTAAAGGCTTTTATATTTCCATTTTTTTAATTTAGAAAATATTATAAAAAATTATTTTTATGGTTTTAACAAGTTACAAATATTAAAATAAATGTAAAACCTTAAAGTCTTTTATATTCCCATTTTTTATATTTAAAAAATACTCAAATATTAAATAAAATATAAATTTATTGCTCATATTAGCTAGAAAATAGTTTTATACTCATATTTCTAAGGAAACATAGTAAAAACGAATAAAAATCTATATTTTTGCCATTTTTTAAAATAGTTTTCAACAAGTTATTTTCCCACTAAAAATCCTCAAATAATTCCCAAACCTTAGAGGCTCTTAATCTATATAAAAAGCAGTTTCTCTTACAACTTTTCCCTCAGTGTCTGGGGATTAGTTTCGCATCTCCGTCGAAAGGGGAATGTGTGGCTTCGTTTGAAGTTATTAGATTGCATGGCCGGTAATTGACAATTAATTGCCATCGACAGCCTGCAAATGGAAATGGAATGAACTCCACACCAAGCTGGACATGTCTCTATGTCTTCTTGCCCCTTCTTGGGTTTCCATGTGTGAAGTCTGACGCAAGTTTTCACACCAAAACATAAGGCGGAAAAACGTGTGAGATTGTTAATGGAAAATAAACAAGAAAGACTTTTAAATATTTGAGTTTTAAACAACAAACACAGGGTGAAGATGGTGTGAAAAAAAAAAAAAAAAATGACAGCTTTTTTTCTCAGATTTTATAAAAAAAAAGAATATGTATATATTTATAAATAAAATTAATTATTAAATGTTTTGTGGGAATTAAAAGTTATACATTTTTTAATACATTTTTAATACATTTTATATATACAGTTTTTCGATACATTTCTTTATATACATTTTTTTATATACATTTTTTAATATATACATTTTTTTAACATATACATTTTTTAATATACATTTTTGTTATATACATTTTTTATATACATTTTTGTATACAGATTTTTTTATATACATTATTTCCACTAAATCCCTCAACCGGAAAGCTGAAAACAAACAGCAGAAAATCATTAGCATTACACGATCTAATTTTGCAATTTCAGCTAATTTAATATCAGACATTAAAGCCGTTGTAAACACGCTGCAATTGTTGCAAATGGCAAACATTTGTTAAATTAGCTTAGCTTTGTCGGCGAAACAACAAAGCGAGCCAAGTTTTAATTGCATTTTTATTACTAAAAAAAAATTATGGGCATAGAATCTTTGTATTTCCCTCACTTTGATTGCCTTTTCCCTAATTTTTGTTTTGTTTCCTTTTTTTTTTTTAACACCAAATTTTGATCTAATTATTGGAGCTTTCAAGTCTGCCGCCGCCGCAATACAATTAAAATGTATTAAATAATGCTAATTGTTAAAAGCTCACAAGATCGAGTGGAATTTTTTCGCCTCAAAATAATAATTATATGCACGAGAATTGTGAAACAATTTGTATTATTTATTGACATATTATTGATCTTTCTTATTCATATTTATATTTATAGATTTTTCGCAGAATATTTTGTTAGCTTTTGAAGTTTGTTTTGCGGGGATTTTGACTTGATTTTTAGGTTTATTTTTATTAAAAAAATTATTATGAGGTGTAAATGGGTTTTAAAATTACTACAAAATTAATTTAATTTAATTTAGGGTTTTAGATTGTTAAATATAAATTTATAAATATACTTTTTTTTGTATTTATATTTATATATGATTTATATAACATTTTCTCAGATATATTTTTATTTTTTTATCCTTGAAATTTTAGTCAGCAGCTTAAAACTCATTGAAAAATTCATTTGCGACCCTATAAAGCATATATATTCTTGATCAGCATCGAAAGCCGAGTCAAACTAGACATTCTGGAGAAAAAAAATTTTTTTTTTGATTTTTGCCAAAAATTGATAAGGGGTACCATCATGAAAATTTACAAAAATCGACTAAAATTTTGATTTTTAAAATTTTTAAGTTTTATATGCAGTTTTGTTAAGCTTTAAAAAACTAACACAGAACTGTTTTCCGAATTGAATTTAAAGCATTTTTGGCTTAGTTATTAAATTTTTAAGATTTAATTTTCCCACTGAAAAATTGAGTAATTTTTTAAAAATTTTACAAGGGGTTACATCATCAAAAAATTCAAATAATATCTAATAAAAATAAGAATCTAATAAAAACTAGCAAATTAAATAATTATAAATTTATTATTTCTTATTTATTATCCATTATTTATTTATTTATATTTATTTAACTAATTTTCGCAATTTTCCTTTTAATTTCCTCCGCAGATCGCCAAGCTCTTGCCCCTGATCGAGTCCGGCTGCTCTCGACGCGCCCGCTTCCTGCTCTGCTCGGCCCTCTTTCCGCTCTGCACGCCGGACGTGCCGCGTCCGGTGACGCCCTGCAAGTCCCTCTGCGAGACCGTCCAGAGCGAGTGCTCCCAGAATGCTCCGCCCGAGCTGATGGAGCTGTGGCCGCCATTCCTGGGCTGTGCCGGCCTGCCACAGCCGGAGAAGCACGAGCTTTGCATGCGGATACCGGAGGAGGGCGAGGCACCCACCACAAGTCCTCCTTCCAGTCCACCCGAGGGTCATTTGCCGGCTCTATCCCCAGGAGACAGAGAGATCTCCTTGCCGCAGCAGCAGCTTCAGGCATATCGCTTTTGGAACAGTGCAGGAGGCGGAGGAGCAGGAGCAGGAGGAGGAGGAGGAGGAGGAGTAGGAGGATCTGCAGCGGGGCCAGGAGGAGTTGGAAGTGCCACCCAGGGACTAGCTTCATCCACGATCTTTTGCCCGCAAAACTTTAGCGGCAGCCACCTCGATCCGGATGTGTGTGTGCCGCAGTGCCAGCGGGACGCCTTCCATACGACCGCCCAGAAGAAGCTATCGGAGAGCTTGATACTGGGCCTCTCGGCCGTCTGCTTTGTGCTCACCCTCTTCGCCCTGGTCACCTTCTGGGCGGAGCCCACTCGCTTTGGCTATCCCGAGCGGCCGGTGCTCTTCCTGTGCCTGTGCTACAACCTGTTTAGCGTTTGCTACCTGGAGAGGATCGTGTTCCACAATCAGGCGAGGAGTCTGGCCCAGCTGCAGGAGCAGGGAAGGCCGGCGGGATTGAGAACCGCCTGCCCGCTGAGTCCGCCGTGCCTGGCCTCGTATATAACCACCTCATACTTGAGCCTGTGCGCCGCCAGCTGGTGGCTCATCTTTGCCCTGTGCTTCTACCTCTCCTCGCACAAGAAGTGGTCCAGCGAGGCGCTGGAGAAGCGCTCGGGTCTGTTCCATGTTTTGGCCTGGGTGCCGCCGCTGGCGCCACCGATAGCTGCCCTGCTCCTGGACCGCGTGCGTCCCAGCGAGCTGACTGGGATGTGCTATGCCCCCGGATTTGTGGAGCTGCCCGCTCTGGTGCTGCTGCTGCTGGGCCTGTACTTTACGCTGCGCGCCTCCAGATCGCTGCTCTCGCTGCAGCAGCAGCTCCAGCCGTCGCTGGCCCTGGCCCACCATCGTTTCGGCCAGATTCGTAAGCGTTTCGTTGTCTTCTCGCTGCTGTATTTTGCACCCACGGCCGCCGGAGTGGTGGCCGCTCTGTGCGAACGTTATGCGGACTCGGTGGTGCCCAGCTGCTCCACGCCCGAGGACTGTGCCTCGCCCACCCCGCTGAGTGCCTGGCCGGCGCTGCTGAGGATATTCTTCCAATTGGTCGGCGGTACACTGACGGGCCTGTGGGTGTGGTCCCGCAAGACCTGCGAGAGCTATCGGAATCGTCTGGTGGCCGGCGGCGCGGGTGGCGGTGGAGTCGGTGGGACACACACCTCGGCGCTGATGAACCCCACCAAGGCGGGGGTGGTGGTGGCCGGAGCGGGGCCGCTGCCCAAGAAGCATCTGTATACCAGCGGTAAATCCATGCTGCCCAGCGGTGGCATAACGACGCCGCTCTACGCGGGCATCAGCTTCCACAATGTGCCCGTCTACAATCCGAATCAGTCGAGGGTTTAGCGAGGGTTCACTGTACTGCCAACCAAGAACCAATCCTGAAGGAATCCAGCAGAAGGCTTTAAGCTCTGATCTGAGTACGTGGACCAGCTCCATGTATGCGTAGTCTGTAGGAATAACTGAAATGTGTTAATAGTTTTAGAGTCTTAATTGTAATTATTATTATTATTATTAATATTATTATTATAAATTTTACAAGTCTTGGTAGGTTTCCTAGTAGTTAAGCCTGTACATAGAAGAAATGTTCTTTTTTTTTGGCGTAATTTAATTGAATTTAGGCTTAAAAGTTCAATTTAATTGCTAATGTTAATAAAATTGTGAATATTTTTTAATATAAACGAACTCTGGAGGTGTTTTAATTGGGAATTTATTTATTTGAATTGAATTTCATGCGTTTTTGGCCGAACTTACTTACTTCTGGTACTTAAAAATTTACAAATTGTATCCTCGGTTATAAAATAAAAAGAAAAACATATTTTAAATATGGTTTCAAGCGTTTATTTTTCTAGAAATATAATATCGGCGTTATGTGGTTAGTATATATTTAGAATCCTTAGTTTCTAGTACATTTACGATTTCTCACGATGTGCCAGTGGTGAGCATAAACCCATCCTTGTGCCCGGAGAATGCCAAAGAGCCGGGAGGGGGGGGGACTTCATTTAATTGCAACAAAAAGGTTAAATTGTTGCTATTGTCTCCTGGATCCAAGCCGAGTGGCAATTAGAAGGAAAAATGCTTAATGACAGAGCTTCCAGCGTTGATTGCCAGCGTTTTGCTGGCCCCCCCAAACGCACCTGAGCCACTCCGCATGGGAGCCAGCTGTGGCTCTGCGTGTTCCCCTCTGTTTTATGTTTTTTCCTTTTTTTTAGATATTTTTTTAAGTCTCTTTCCAGCCACCCTGAGAGGGTCACACAGCCTTGCGAAAAAGGAAGGGATCTTTACGAGGCAGAAGGTGGACTTGGGAATGCCCTAAAAAGTACTAGACTTTAGGGGAAATTAAATAAATATAAAAAAAATATATATATTTATATAAAATAAAAAAAAATTTCAAGTAAAAATGTTTAAGACATTTTTTTAAAAGGAAATTTACCCAAAAAAAGTTCATTTAGAAATTGTTTAAGATTATCTTATAAACTAAAATATATTATTAAATAAAATAACAAATAAAATTCAAAATAAAAATTGTTAAAGATTTTTATTTATAAAAAATATACCCAAAAAAAGTTTATCAAGAAAAGTTTATTTATTTTAAAAGATTTTCTAGAGCTTGTCAATGAAATTTGATCTTTGGCAGGCAAGTACATTTTTATTCTTAAACTAAAATCTTAAATATATTTAAGATATAAAATTATAAAAAATATAAATTGTAAAATATATAAATCTACGTTAAATATATAGTGTATTTCCCAACAAAACATGAGTATTAACCGAGCTACAATTAATTTGATTGAAGCTGCCACACCGCGTGCCGGCGAATGTTTCTATCCAACAAATTGCTGGCCAACAAGCCGAAACACAACTACAACAACCTGCAACTTGCAACAAGAACAAAAAGCAACAAAAAAAAAAGAACTAAAAAAGCAACAACAAAAGCAAAGAAGAGCAAGCACTGGCGGCGGCAAAAAGCAACTGTGCAGCAAGCGTGCAATTAACTCTTGTGCGCCAAGATCAAAGCGATTAATGCCGGCACTGCCCCTCGATTTCTGGATATCTTGGACTTGGTCTTGGACTTGGCCCAGAGCCCAGAGTATTGGTCGCCGGGAAGAGCCAAGACCCCGAGACGGGGCGGACCAAGAGAGCGATTTTCTGAGCCAAGCCAAGCCTGACGCTTTATCGTCATCCGCATCGCTGTTTTGCCGTTGCTGTTGTTCTTGCCCACGTTTACACAGTGAGAAAATGGGTTATTCTTTTTATTAAAAACAAATTATAATACAGGGAAATAGGAAAAGATTAATTCTTATTAATTTCTAATTTTTAAATAATTTTAAAGCTTTTTTTAATAGTATTTTTATACTCTATAATTTCAGTCAGCAGCTTGAAAAGCAGTGAAGAAGTCATTTCCCACCCTATAAAGTATATATATTCTTGATCAGCATCAACAGCCGAATCGAACTAGACATTCCGGAGAAAAAAAATTTTTTTTTTGATTTTTGCAAAAATTGATAAGGGGTACCATCATTAAAATTTACAAAAATCGACTAAAATTTTGATTTTTTAAATTTTTTAATTTATTATGCAAATTTGTTAACCTACTAAAAACTAACTCAGAACTGCTTTCCAAATTGAATTTCATGCATTTTTGGCTGAGTTATGAATTTTTTAAAGTTTAAAAAATTATTTAAAAATTACAGGTAAGTATTTCAGCAGAACTAAAATAAATAAATAAAAATCCTAAACTTAAAAACCAATTTTTATATTAATTCTCCCAGTGGAAAACATAGAAAAGCGGCAGGCAAATGGGGGGACAAAGCCAGTTGGCCAACGGCCAATAGCTCTGGCCAAGCAAACAGGTAAGCCAAGAACCAACAGGTAACGCGGCTAAGAGGCCTAGGCACTTCTTGGCCAAAATAGCCCCCAATCGCTGGCCATTTGCGGGTGTTAAATGCGGCTAAGAACTCTGCGGCCGGGGCAATTTTCCGAAATAAATGCACAGAGCACAGAACGAATTGAGAGACAAATGCACCACGTAGTGCTTACCAAATTGGCCATTAATTTTCGGCCTAGAAACCGGTTAAGGCCGAAAACCCGTAGCAGCCAAAAACGAATTCTTAATGTGGCAAGAAAAAATAAGAGAAATAATAAGCATAAAACTTGGCTTGCGGAAATCTTAGAAGTTCTTAAAAAAATTAAAATATATTTTTTATTAAGTAAGAATATTATAAAAGTTTATAAATAAAATAATATAAATACATCTAAGGATGAATGTTATTTATTTCTGAAGTTTATTTTCTTTAGGGACTTAAAATAATATTTTTAAAAGCATTTTTTAACAATTATTTCTTAATGTAATCATAGTTTTTATTGTTATTAAAATTAAACAATTAAATATATATTATTAGCATTGTTTGAATAATTCATAAAATTGAATAATTAAGTAAATATCATATAAATATTTAGATTTCTTTTCTGTAAAATATTAAATTATAGTTTAATAATTATAAATAAAATATAAAAAATGTTCTATTTGTAGTTGAAATATTTTATGTATATTTAGATACACCCAAATATATATTTTAATATTATTAATAGCAACAAAACATAAAAAAAATAAAATTAATATATAATTTTTATATTTAACTTACAAAATATGCCTTAATATTTCGTCTTAATTAAATTCCTGGCAATAAATTAATGTATTACTATTTCTAATATATTATATATTATTATATATTACATATATATTATTTTATATATTATTATTAAATTTTTATTTAAGTAATTTATGTTCTTAAGAATATTTTAGATTTTCTGCTTAAATTATTTTCCCCAAAATACAATATATATTGCATATTTTCGGGCTGATTTGTATATATGATGACCCAACTTTTGTCCAGATTTATCGATACACCGATAGCTCGATAGCGTCTTGGCCCAAAGCAAAGCACAGTTAAAGCCAAGTCGTTCGCAGACCGGTTTTTTGGCCGAACCCAAGTTTTAGTTGGTAAGAAGGAACGAAGCGATCGGAGTGGCGAAAGAGAAAGCGCATTCTCACCCAGCTCTCTGTTGTTGACGTGTGCAATGCCCCATTTCCAAATAAATAAATAAGTAAATACATAAATAAATAAATAAATAAACTATGGCCGCCAGCGTGGTCAAGGCGCCCAAGTGTCCGCGTCGGGGATCGGCCAAGGATCTGGCCAAAACTCCGGCAGTTTCCGAGCAAAAGGCCAAAAGCAACAACAACGAGGCCAACTGGTAAGTTGGACAATATCAAAACAAAAGACTTCAAGTGCAATTCCGGGAATTTTCTTTCTTTCTTTCGTTAGGAACTGGTGGCTTCTACTGGCCACCGTCTTCCTGATCACCTTCGCCACGCGTTTCTACAAGGTTACCGAACCGGATCACATATGGTATTTAGTTTTAATTAATTAATTAGTTTAATAAAATATTAATTAACTCAAATGTATGTGTACTTCAGCTGGGATGAGACGCACTTTGGCAAGATGGGCAGTTGGTACATCAACAGAACCTTCTTCTTCGATGTGCATCCGCCGCTGGGCAAGGTAAGAGCTTGGAATTGTATTTTAAAATTAATATTCTGACTTGAAAAAATTAAAGGCTTTTAATTCTTTAACACTATATGTTGCTACCTAATAGATTATTAATTTAAAAAAATATTTTTAACAGCATTTTACTTTAAAAAATATGGTAAAGAGTATTAATATGAGATAAAGTCTTAATTTATTCATCTATTTTGACCTTTTGTTTATTTTTAAATAAAAAATATTTACTTTAAAATATTAAACTATTTTTTAATAATTAAAAAACAAAATTGTAATACTTTTTATGTGTTGCCAAATATTTTAAATATATTTTAGACAATTTATTGAAAATATTTAAAAGTAAATTAGAAGCTTGTTATAAATTTACTTTGAATTACTTTACATTCTTACTTTAAAATTTTAAAATAATGTTTATTAATTAAAAAAAACTATTTTTAATACTGTTTATGCCTTGCCAAATATTTTAAATATATTTAAAAATATATTTTATACCCTTAAAAGCTTGTTATTAAAAATATTACATTAAACGTTGTTTTATTTTTAATATATTTAATATATAGATGAAAACACAATTTTATACCTTTCCAAAATATTTAAAAAATATTCACAAATATATTTTAGACCTTTAAAAGCTTGTTATTAAACATAAAACTGTTCTTTAAGCTTTATTTTTAAGTACAAGCCTTAAATTGCCTTAAATATATTTGTAAATATATTTTAAATAGTTTGGCAAGGCTTAAAAATGTATTTTTTAATTAATAAAAAATAATTCAATATTTTTAAATTATAGTATAGATTTTAGAGATTTTAAAGGGCTCATTTTTCTTGCAATTAATTTTATTTCAAGTGAAATTTAGTTTTATTTTTGTGTATATTTATATAGATATAATATATAATATTTGTTAAAATTTTAAATTATTCCCATATTTTTTTTTTAAGATGCTTATTGGACTCTCTGGCTATTTGACGGGTTATAATGGAACGTTTCCCTTTGAAAAACCAGGCGATAAGTACAATGAGACTCGCTACCAGGGCATGCGATATGTGAGTTTTAAGAGAATATATTTAAAATAAACAATATATTTAATATATTTAAAATATATAATAATTTATATACCATTCTAACTACATGAATAATTTATTTAAATAAAATCCCCGCAGTTTTGCACCACCCTAGGGGCCCTGATAATGCCCATGGGCTTCGACACTGTCTACGATCTAACGCGCTCCCACGAGGCAGCCCTGCTCTCGGCAGCCTATTTGATATTTGGTGGGTTTTTAAACTATATTTAAATATTTATAAATAATTTTAAATATATTTTCCAACTAATTTGACTCCCCTTTCTCCCCCCTGCAGATGTGGGCCTCCTTACCCTCAACCAGTACATCCTCCTGGATCCCATCCTGCTCTTCTTCATGATGGCCTCCGTCTGGGGCATGGTGAAAATTTCGCGTTGCACTTCCGCTGGCGGCTCCTACTCCCTGCGCTGGTGGTTCTGGCTCTTCCTCACCGGCACCATGCTCTCCTGCACGATCAGCGTGAAGTTTGTGGGTCTGTTTGTGGTCCTTTTGGTGGGCCTGCACACGGCCACCGAGCTTTGGCTCATACTGGGCGACCTGGGTCAGCCCATTCTGGAGACTGTAAAGCAGGTGGCCTGCCGGGCCATTGCCCTCATTGTGTGGCCCATTCTCCTGTACACGCTCTTCTTCTACATCCACCTGAGTGTCCTGAACAGGAGCGGCAATGGCGATGGCTTCTATAGCTCCGCCTTTCAGTCCCGCCTTATTGGCAACTCCCTGTACAATGCCAGCATGCCCAGGGACGTGGCCTATGGCTCTGTGGTGACCATTAAGAACCACAAGACGGGCGGCGGTTATCTGCATTCCCATCATCATCTGTATCCCAAGGGATCGGGCGCCAGGCAGCAGCAGGTAGGTAAACCATTTTGAGGTAGTGGAAATTGGTAAAAGGAGTTGGTTTGGTTGCTTTTTAGATCACCACCTACACCCACAAGGATGAGAACAATAAGTGGCTCATCAAGCCGCACAACAAGCAGCGAGTGGCCAAGGACAAGCTGCAGTTGCTCCGGCATGGGGATCTCGTCCGGCTGGAGCATGTGGCGACCAAAAGGAATCTGCATTCCCATGGTGAACCGGCTCCGATGACCAAAAAGCATCTACAGGTCACGGGATACGGCGAGGTGAGTTTGAAAGAGAGGAAAACAATCGATTTTAATCGTTAAAAATATCGAAAATATCTATGTTTTCCTCAGAATGGCGCCGGCGATGCCAACGATGTGTGGCGCGTGATGATTGTGGGCGGCAAGGCCAACGAGACGGTGCACACGGTTACCTCCCGCCTACGCTTGGTCCATCTCTTGCAGAATTGCGTCCTCACCTCCAGTGGGAAGCAGCTGCCCAAGTGGGGATTCGAGCAGCAGGAGGTGTCCTGCAACCTCAATGTGCGCGACAAAAATGGCCAGTGGAATGTCGAAGACAATGAGCACAAGTTGTGTGAGTGAAAAATAGATTTTTATTGTCTATAAATAATTATAAGTAATTAAAATTTTTTTTTTTTAATTTTTTGGACAGTGCCCAGTGTCAGTTTCAGCATTTATGCTCCTGGCTTCTTTGCTCGCTTCCTGGAATCACATGCCGTCATGCTGCAGGGCAACGCAGGACTGAAGCCCAAGGAGGGGGAGGTGACCAGCCGACCCTGGCAGTGGCCCATTAATTACAGGGTAAAATCTTTAAAAAATAATACATTAAATAGTTTAAATAATGTTTTAAATATTTTAAAAAATAATTCTAATATTTTGAATATTTTAAATAATATTTTTAATATTTTAAATAATATTTTAAACATTTTAAATACTTTAAATAATATTTTAAATATTAGTTAAAATATAATATTTTTAATATTTTAAATATTTAAAAAATTTTAAAAAATACTTTAATTATTTTAAATAATATTTTAAGCATTTTAAATAATTTAAATAATATTTTAAACATTTTAAATAATATTTTAAATACTTTAAATAATATTTTAAATATTTTAAATAATACTTTAAACATTTTAAATACTTTAAATAATATTCTACATATTTTTTATATAATATTTTTAATATTTTAAATATATTAAATAATATTTTAAATAATCTTTTAAGCATTTTAAATATTTTAAATAATATTTGAAACATTTTAAATATTTTAAATACCTTAAATAATATTTTTAATATTTTAAACACTTTAAATATTTTAAATAATATTTTAAATATTCAAAATAATTTTTTAATATTTTCCTAATTATTTTAAACTCCATTTAAAAAATCCCCCTTAGGGCCAGTTCTTTTCGGGCAACATTTATCGCATCTACTTGCTGGGCAATCCGGTCATCTGGTGGAGCAACCTGGTCTTCCTGGCCCTCTTTGTGGCCGTCTTCCTGTACAATGCCGTCTTGAAGCAGCGGGAAGCTGGACTGACTCAATACCAGGCCGAGATCCTGCTGTATGAGCTGCAGCACTCACAGGGCGATGGCCAGGCTGTGGCCCAAGCCGAGGACAGTGAGCCATCGACAGCGGATCTCTGCAGCTGCTGTCCCTCGCTGGAGCAGAGGATCAAGCAGGAGCAGGGGCAGGAGCAGGAGCTGCAGCTGGAAAGTAGTGTTAATACCCCCTCGCCTGCCATGTCCTTGCAGGCAGGCGCCTGGCTGTTTGTGGGCTGGGTGCTTCACTACCTGCCCTTCTGGGCCATGGGACGAGTGCTCTACTTCCATCACTATTTTCCGGCTTTGATCTTTAATTCCCTGCTCACGGGTAAGTCTCCCTGGTTATCCTTTAGTTTTGGGATGTAATGTATCCTTTTGTAGGTGTCATGTTCAACTACCTGATGCGCGTCTTCCCCAAATGGATCCAGCATGTGATCCTGGGCGTGGTTCTGTCCATTCTGGTCTATAGCTTTGCCCAATTCTCGCCCTTGGCTTATGGCATGAGCGGTCCGCTGGCCAACGAGCCCAACTCCACGATGCACAACCTCAAGTGGCTGTCCACCTGGGAGTTTTAGTTCATTTTAATTATAAACTAGCAACATTTTTTTTTAATATTTATTGGTAGTTTTAGAAATATTTAACATTTAATTTGTAGATGCTTAGCTTATGTTTCACACAAAATTAAGTCACAAATTAAAATATAACCAAGTTTAATAGCTCAAAATATAATTTTTAAGGTGTTTTTTATTCATTTGTATTTATTTTTTTGGTTTATTTATATTTTTTTGTCAATGTTTTTAGGGTATTAAATTTTTTTTTATATTTAAAAGTCAGAAAACTAAAATCCGAAATTTCTTTGATATTCTAGAGAGCAATATTATTTTTTTAATTTATTAAATTTATTATTTTAAAATTATTAAAAATAAAATATAATATTAATAATTTTGTATACATTTTTATTCATTTTTTTTATTTTTTTTCGATTTTTTTTATGGCATTAAAATATTTTTGATATTAATATAATATTTTTTATGTTATTATAATATATTTTGATATTTAAAATGTCATTAAATCAAAATACGAAATTTTCTAGGTTTTTTTTATAGAGCTTTATTTTTTTTAAATATGAACTTAAATGAAGTCCAATTTTTTCTTGTGATTTTAGTTTTTTATTATTTATCATTAAACAAAAACCCTAAATAATTCCAAAAAAATTCCATTTAGTTCTTTGTGAAAGTGCCACCCCGAAATAGGCAGCTTCTTTTTATTATTTACGAGTAGATATAATATTTAATGTATAAAATTGCCTTAAATCTAAATACGATTAAGAAACAAAAACAAAAAAAAAGCCATAGCAAAGGAAAGCGATAATAAGACTATGCAACGATGGCAGGACGAGGCCAGGACTTCTCCCACTCCCACTCCTCCCACACCCTTCCTCCTCAAGATTCCTCCTCAATCGAAGATGCCCAGCTCATCGAAGCGGCGCAGGGCATAGCGCAGGGTGTCCGTGGTGCGGGGATTGGAGGAGAACATCAGCTGAACCTTCTTCTTGGCAAAGTCCTGATCCGTGAGGGCCTCGATGCTGATGTCATACGAGTCCTCCTTCTTCATGGTGACCATCGGCAGGAAGGCATACGAGGAGAAGAAACCATAAAGCTCCCTGGCGCGAATCTCCTGCTGAATATCTGCATAGCTGGGCACAAAGGTCGAGTGCATCCGCTCCAGACTCTCGCGGAGCGAGGCATAGTAGGTCTGGATAAGGAACTCGCGCCGGTGGATGAGCACGTCCAGCTGGACGCTGCTGTTCAGGAAGAAGTTGATGTCGCAGCCAGGGCTGCCAAAGAAGCTGTTCTGAAAGTCCACCTGGGGGGTTAGGAAATATTTCAAATAAATTCAAAATAAATATATAAAAAATATATATAAATATAGAAATATGAACTCACAAAGATGGCATCTATGGGCTTGGTGGGCTGATCATCATCGTATTTGTACATAAAGTTATTCACCCAGAGATCGCCATGATTTAGGACCGTGATCTCGCCAGGCAGGGGTCGTCCGGTCATCACCAGATTCTCCTTGATGTCATCGCAATGGCGATGCAGCTTCTCTGCCAGCAGCTCGTAGCCGGGCCACTTGGCCACCACATTGGCCAGGGTGCGGCACTGGAGGGTCATGAAGGTGATGAATCGCTCGTTGGTCCTTATGTAGTTCTCGTCCAGCATGCCGCTGGTGAAGTGCTCACGGACGCTCGGCTCCTGCAAAAAAAAATTCCAAATTGCCAATAAAATAAATATAAAACGAAAATAGAAAACAGATTGTGATATTAACCCATTTCTGATTTTGATTTGACATTTGCTTTTGGGAATGGAAAACGTTCAGAAGAAAGAAAGGAAAACGAAATACAAAATATAAACAAGATTTTCACTAAGCAAATAAATTTTAAAAATTTTTAAATTATAGCTTATAGGTTTAATTTAGTTTTATTAACCAAGCTAGGGGTTGGCTGATACTATTTTTTTATATTTTAAAGATAATGCTTAAAGATATCTAATATAAAATAAATAAACTTGCACTTTAAACTCATAAATTTGACTTAAAAAATAATTATTATATTTATTTTATTATTAATAATATTTTATTTATATTTTTTATTATATGGTTTAGTAAGAAAACCTTTTAAATTTATATGATTTTAATTTGTTAAATATTTAAAACCTTAAAGTATTTATTTTTAATTTTAAAAATATTTTATTTATATAAAATTTACTTAAAATATAATTATTATATTTTTTTTATTATTAATAATATTTTATTTCTATTTTTATTATATTCTTTTATAAGAAAACTTTTTAAATTTAAATAATTTAAAGGTTTTTAAATATTTAAAACCTTAAATTATTTATTTTTAAATAAAAGTAAAGCTGAAATTTAGGTTTATTAATTAAATAAACATTTTTAGCATTCAAATTTAGCTTTAAAATTAATTTCTTTTTATTATTTGAAAGGAAAAGTAAAATTTATTAAGCTCAGAAATATGTAAATCAATTTTTTTTATGAAATCAGATAATAATAAATAATTTCTTTTATATATATAAATATTGCTTACAATTTCTAGAACAAAAAAAAAACACATTTAGCAACACGTTGACGTGGGTACTTTGTCAGCAAAAAAAAAAAACCCTGATGCATTTATTATTTGTACTTTGACATTTGTTTTAATTTCATTTAAAAATTGTTGATAAAAGCAAATGCAAAATGTAGACTATAAAAATTGTATAATAAGTGGGGAAAATCATCAGAGACTTTTGTGAATTAAAATGTTAAATACCAAATGCCTTAATAATGAATTTCATTAAGTTTACTATGCCATTTAATCTTGATTATATTTATTATATTGCGTTTAATGAAAATATACGAAATGAAATTGCGATTTAAAGAATTTATAATCTCAATTTACTTTGTTGTTTTATATAAAATAAATAGAATATTTAAATATATAATATATATATATAATATATATAAATATAAACAGCATATATAATACAGCAAGTCTCGTGATCAGTTTGTTTTGAATTAAAATTTATAATGTAAATTAACAATCTCAATTTCTTGGCTTCTCTTAATTGGTTTGCACTTTGGCGATTATTTGTTATTAATTTCTCTTTGATTTTTTAATTAAAAAAAAGCATGACTTGAAGATTGCATTTGTGTCTAGTTTATTCCAGTATATATATATATATATTATATATATTTCTTAAATTCTTGAATTCATTTTTGACCTTTGCTATTCCATTTCCGCTTAACTTTTGAGGTTTTCTTTTTTTGTAAATTTAAAAGTCATTGAACGGCAAAGAAGAACAAAGTACGATTTGTTTTTCTTTTTAGATTAAAACATATATTAAAAATTTACTAACTAAATTTTTAAATGGAAATTTTTAATATAATTATACAAATAAAGGAATATTTTTAAGAATCAACAAGCAATTGTTTAAAAAATTGTTGTTTTAGAAATAAATAAAATAATCTTAAGACCAATTTCAAGTTTTGTAAGCAGAGTTTTGCATATTTAAATTTTTAGTAAAATATTAAAATTAAAAAACCATCAAGTTAAATGGTTTTTAGACATTTTCCTTATTGAAAACTTGTTGAAATCTTGGAATTTTTTGTTAGTTTTTAAAGCAGCCAGGAAACTTGCATACATTTTTGAAAAGAAAAGCTAATTAATATACATTTAAATTTAATTTTTAATAAATAAGAACCCTTAAAATATTTTTAGCATAAAATTAATGAAAATATAGTATCAAAAGTTATATTAATTTTTTGTTAAAACAAAAAATTTAAAGCTCTTTCTGCGTTTTCTCTAAAAAATAAATTATTCAGACACTTTCGATATGAAAATTGACAGTAAATTATATTTTTATATATATTATAAATTCAGAAAAATAAGATATATCAGTATAACCAACTCACCTTCTCGGCCAGCAGCATGGAGCTGGCATGGAACTTGCCCAGCTTCTTCAGTATCACCACGCAGTGCTCCTCGTTGAGGCCGCTCTGCCGGCTGGCCAGCTTGTAGCCATACTGGGTGAGGTCGTCAAAGACAATCGTCTGGATGGGCTCGCGGGTGGTGTACAGGCACTTGGCCCCGAACTTGGAGCCATCGCCAATGAGGACCTCCAGCTTGCCAAGGACATCAAAATAGAAGATCTTTTCACGCAAATAGACGGCCAGCTCCTCGAGGAACTGTGTGGCCGGCGTAATGGCAATGCTCTTGACAATCAAAGCCAGCTCCTCGTCCAACTGGCGCTTGCTGCTCCTGTACAGAGCCTTGGCCCTATAGATCTTACTGCAATAGTTTTCCCCACCGCCGCCGCTGCTCTCGGCAAAGATAATCTTCTTGATGTCCACACGCATGTCCCTTAAACCATCCTCCAAGGCGGCCTTGAAGAAGTCCTCGTTGAGGTACTTGGGCGGATCCTGGCCGCGGCTTTTCTCTTCCAGCTTCATGTCGAGCAGCACTCTCTCTCTCGTTAGGTTTTAGATTCTGGGTGGGGGCGGGACACCTGCTCTGGCGGCGGCTGCTACGTCTGGGAAACTGTGGCCCCGCCAGCGGACTCCTCTAAATATAAGCCCTTATCAGGTGCGCTCGCTGCCAGCGTCGCAGTCGAAGTCGCTGCCGACTGCATACTACTCACAGATATTTGCTTGACCATATCTCTATCTATGGGACGGGATTATATGTTAAAAGTACCTACATATATACGGGGCAACAGGGGCTCACACAGGTGGGATTGCCAAGGGGATAGAAGGCTTTATTTCTTTAAGTAGCGAACGAGAGAGGATTTTTTCGTTTGAGAGAGTGTTTTTTAGTTCTCTTAAAGCTCTCTATATAAGGGTCAACAGGGACTCACAGCTGGGTTTGGCACTCAGTAGCGAACGAGAGAGGGTTTTTCGCTTGAGAGAGTGTTCTTCAGCTTTAGGATCTACAGGGACTCACAGGTGGGCTTAGCAAGAGACTAAAAGACTTTATTTTACTCCGTGGCGAACGAGAGAGGATTTTTCGTTTAAGAGAGTATTCTTTAAGCTCTCTCCAAGTCCCAGGGGATTTTTCTTAGTGAACAGGGACTCAGAGGTGGGCTTGACAAGAGACTAGAAAACTTAATCTCCCTTCGTAGCGAACGAGAGAGGATTTTTCGATTGAGAGAGAGAGAGCTCTTTAGCTCTCTTCAATCACAATTGAACAAAGTCACAGGTATACTTAGCTTAGTTACTAAAGAAGAATCCTAAAACTGCTCCTGAAAATATATTATATGAGACTTAAAAATTTTTAAAAATCAGAAGAGAATCTATACCTAAAGTCCCCCCTTAAATTCTTAGCCCCTGGCCTGCATCAATACACACCCTCGTCTTACCCATCCGCGCACCGAACTCCTCTCCCAAGCCGCGGGGCACACATCCGTATTATCTAGGCGAGCCAACACCATCGACGTGGTCCGCATACCCCAAATAAATCTGTATATAAAATATATAAAAAAAAATAATATAATTAATAATAATAAAATAAATATATACATAAACGTTAGAATGGGCGCTGTCATTGGTCCAAGTAAATGATAAATGCGGTCAGACGCAGATTCTGATTAAACATATTTCAGTTGGTTCTTAAATTATATTACTTTAAGTATATATATATTATAATAATGTATATATTATATTAATATCAAAAAGAAAGCGGAACTGGCGCCGCAAGACTCGAGACAGTAGATCAATCAGTTTCACCTGTGACAGAACATCCATGGAATACTTAACTTTCATGATTACAAAATCCAGCACGTGGTTGAATATTGTTTTTTTTAATCTAATCACGAGAGGGGAATATTAAACAAATTGATTTCAAATCTAATTGGGTTTAATTGGAATTAATTATTAAACAAGAAAATCCCAGAAACAAACTCAATAAAAAGCAAGTTGAAGGAGTTGTTAAGGGAAAATCTTACAAGATCTTGTAAAGATCTTTAAAGGATCTTTTAAAGGATTTCCTTTCTTGTTTAAACTTAATACCTGACTTTGGAAATACCCAATCTGGGTTCCTTGATATTAAACCTGGCCCTGACCTGTGTGATATATCATTATTAGATGACAGATCTTGAAAAAACAAACATCGTAGAGAGTGCAATGTCTTTGTTTTGATACAAAATATATGTATTTATATATAAATATATATTTATAATATATAAAATCAAACGCAGGCATTGCGTCATCTTTGGGCTGGTGGATCGTGCTATATAGTCTGATATATATAACATACATTGGCTCTACTACGTGATACCTATCACTTTTGTAAAACTTGCATAAGTCTTGATTTGATGACTCAGGGTTCACAAAACTATACGTAAATCCGGATCGAACTTGACAACAATAGAGACGCTTTATTATATATATATATATATATATATATATTTGCCTGATCTCTGTTGGCGTCTGGGCGACGTCTAATTAGTTCCCCATGCGTCTGCCAGATTGCACTACAGTTGGACATCGGTCTTGACCCCAGAATTTGCCAGTTTTTGTGATTAAAATCGCATTAAAAGTACACCGAAAGAAAAGGAAAAAATCAAAATAAAATTTACAAAAATTCCTAAGAACTTAAATGTGAAAATAATAATTAAATATATAATATAAAAGTATATAAAAATAAAATCAAATACCTTATATAAAATCTCATATTTACCCCATTATTTTCGTTCTGTGTACTTGTCTCTGCGTCTCTCGCACTAATCTCAAATGACGCATTGAACTACACAAAGTGTGCGATTTCTAAATTTAAAAGCCATTAAAAGTGGCCATGGCAATGATGGTAAAGGTGCAACACATCTAGAATCTGGACCTGGGACCCGTATCTGCATCGCGCGTCTTAGCACTTAAGATTCCATTTCGATTTTGGTTTCTTTTTCTGTTTCCGAGGGGCGCCGGAGACGCTCCATAATTGGAGGTCACTTTGGGTTATCTGGTAGCTAGGAGAATGATGCTCTGGAGCTCTGGAAGCTCTGGAAGCGAGGCCAAACGGAAATTGGCTTCAGAGATACGCCATTTCATTTCATTTTTGGGCGGTGTGGGAAACGTAACAATTGGGGTCAAAGATCAAGTATCTATATATAAATAGAGGCTTTAAAGAATCTTAGAAATAAAGGTAAAACAAAACTTGATTTTCTTTAAATTTTAAAAATATTTTATAGAAATTTTATATCAAAATTTACCTAGTAATAAAAAGTTTGCTATATGCTTAACTTAAACCAATTATATGTTTTATATCTTTAAAACCTTCTGGAAAATTCGTTGAAATGATTAACGCTGACTCCGATTATCGATTATCTGACAGACAGTGTGACCTACGACGATTCCGCGGACAATTACGTTCGCAATCTGTTTTGTTTGAACAGCCCTAAGCAGGCAAATACAAAACCTTCACACACTTCCAGTGCTCGCATAACTCTCCGCCGAGTGACCACTAGTAATAACATATATATATATATATACATATATATAGGAACAATCTGGGTAAACACTGATTCGCAAGTCAATCCTATCTGAAGATCGTAGCATGGCGGCATACCTCAATAGATAAACAATGCAACTTGTGACACTGGTCAGCATAAAATTTAACCAAGAATTAAGAGTTTTGATCTTTTAAAAGAAAACTAATACGAAATACTAATGATAAAAAATTCTAAAAAATTCTAGGTAAAATAAAATCTCCTGAAAACATGCATAAAAGTAGGCTATAGTTTTTTATAAGTGAAAATGTTCGAATTAAACTTTATATAAATTTATATAAAAACAAAGAATACTAAATACTTAGTAAAAAAAATATTGGGCTAAATAAAATCTCTTAAAAAATACACACAAAAGTAGGCTATAGTTGTTATAAGCGAAAACTCAGCCTTTTTTGCCTTTTAAAAATCGTAGAACAATTTTAATTAAATTAAAATAAATAATTCAAAAATTAAAAAACTAATTTTTACTTTTTAAATATTAAAAATAAAATTCCGAAATAAAAATATAATATATAAAATCTCCAAAAACCCCTTTTAAAAATATCCCACAATTATTTTTTACTAAAAAAGCTTTGCTTAACTTTGTTAAGCTTCTTTTTAGTTAATTTAAAATTTTTGTAAATATAAAAAATATATATTTTCCTTTCAGGGAATTCTTCAATCGACTGCAACCGCACCTTCGTCTATGGACAGTCCTCGAATTGTGTCAAAACTCAAGTAGCAACAATATGTTTACTTAGCTTTTCATGTCGCATTCGTATCTCCTGCTGTTTCTTTTTTTATTATTATTTTTTTTTTGTATTATTTTTATTAGGTTTTATTTTATTTGGTGGATGGGCGGCATGCCGCCAAAGTCAGATTGCGATAGAGAGCCCATAGATGAGATAGTCGGGGAATTTGCTGCTGCGCAAAAAGTGCATTAAACTTGAAGTTCAAGTCTTGAACCAAATGCCGATTGGCAATAATTGTTGTCGTTTTTGCGAACTGGAATTGGCCAGCCAAGATCACAGGCTGGGAACGAGCCCTCTTCAGGCCACAGAAACTCAATGGCCAAATCTCTCCACAAAGTCAAATAACATATAGAGTGGGGTGGCTTATATGATATGATATTCTGAAAATCTTTATGAGAAAATGGCAATGGTTAAACACTGGAAAAAAAACTATTAGAAAAGGCAGGGTAACACTTGAAATATGGGTAGAGTTTTTCGATAGTAATTATGTACTGAAAAATATATATTAATAGTAATTTAATATATATAAAATAATAATAAAGATATAATATTAAAGGAAACTCTGGTTTTGATATAGTAATTGTACATATACTGAAATGTATATATTAATAATAATATAGTTAATAGAAAATAATAATATAATTATAATAAAATAAGAAACTTTGTATCCTCACTATTTTATATTAATATATAATATATTCCTTAATATTTATATTATATTTTAATATAAAATAAAATAAAGGGAAGAAAATAGAAAAAGTTTCTTATTTTATTAGATTTATTTTAATTTTGTATTTATTTTATAAAGAATATATATTATATATTAATATAAAATAGAGAGGGTAAAGAGTTTTCTATTATATATATATTATAATATATATTTTAATAATATTAAAATAATAATAATAATTGTATTTACCTTAATAAATGCATATTTGAAACACATTATTTGTATGTGTTATATTTTTTTTGTTTTTCATTTATTTTTGTTTTTATGTTTTACATATGTTTTTGCATAAACGAAATCACAGTTCATCAGTGCTGTGTAATTTTAATATATTTTTACATACATTAGTTTTAATATTTTAATATTTGGTGTGATTTGTGTTTAATTTCAATTGTAAACATTTTAAAAAATAAATATATTATATATATTATATTTTAATATATTAATTTTTAATGTATTCCATGTTTAATGCTATTTTTATAAATATTAATATTTTAATATATCCATAAGTTATTTTTTATATTATTAAGTATTAAGAGTATTTTATGTTTAAAATGTTATTTGTATAAATTTTGATATATTAATATATTAAGTAAATTATTTGAAATATTTTTTGTGTTCTTTGTTAAACGTTTTTTGTATAAATTTGCTTCTTTTGTGTTCTTTGTTTCATTTTAATTGTATAAATTTGTTTGTTTAATCCTCCTCTCCGCCATAAGTCTCCTCGGGATACTTCTCACCATCTTCATTTCCGTTTCCCTTTCCTGCCGAAGCTTTACCATTTCCCTTCAACATGGCGGCCATTGGCTGTGGCAGTTCCGATGGCAATGGGGCACGTGGAACAGTCGGCACAGTGGGCATTTTGGACAGATCCGTGCTGGTCACATAATTGGTGGTGCATCCACCTAGGTTAAAGTCCTTGGAGCCATAGCGAATATCCGATTGCTGCTGCTCGTAATAGCGACGCGTCTCCCGGCCCACCCGCTGGGCAGTCTTAGCACGCTCATTGCGCAGCCGAGCCTGGAGGAGCTCGCGCTCTTGGCGACAGGCCTCGATCTGCTCCGCCCTACGCTGCTGACCCAACTGGCGGCGAGCCTTGTACTCCTCCATTTCCTCGCGCTGCGAGCTATCCATGCACTCCTGCTGCTGCTTCATTTCATTTTCCAGACGCTCCTGCAGCTCCTTCACTTCCTGAATGCGTTCCAGTAGCTCCTTTCGTACCATATCCTGCTGACGGCGCATCTCTGGTTCCTTTTTGGGCTTCTTCTGGTCTCCAGCTACGTCCTGCTGCTTGCGTTTCTTAGATGCTAGGTCCTGCTCCTGGCTAGGCAATTCCCATTTGCTCGATTGGTACGATTCCCGGCAGGTTTTCAGCCATTCGCCACTGCAAATGAGAAAGGTTATTAATATTATAATTAATAATATATTGTTTTTTTTCCCTACATTTGGCTAGAAGATGAAGACGAGGCTTCGCCACCAGTCTCCTCGGGGTACTTGCTGCCGTTCCCAGAATCAGTTTCAGCTTCCTTTCCATTTCCGTTTCCCGGGGAGCTGAACATGGCGGCCATTGGCTGTGGTAGCTCCGATGGCAAGGGGGCTTGAGGAATCCTCGCTGCAGTGGAAATCTTGAAGGGATCACCTTGGCCTTCCACATTCTTGGGACCGCATAGAAAATCATATTGCTGATCCTCGTAATACCGAGTGGCCTCCTGCCCCACTCGCCGGGCGGCCTTGGCCGCCTCATTGCTAAGCCGTGACTGGAGCAGATCGCGCTCCTTGCGACAAGCCTCGATCTGCTCCAGGCGCTGCTTAATTTCCAACTTGCGGCGAGCACAGGCTGCCTCCATCAATTTCTTATCCTGATATTGAGCAACCATCGCCTGCCATTGGCTCTCTAGCTGCTCCTGCTTCTCGGTGTCCCTTTCCAAACGCTTCTCCAGCTCTTTCAGCTCCTGATGGCGAACCATAATCTCGTTGTGAGCCTTCTCCTGCTGACGGCGTCTCTGAAACTCCTCCTGAAGCTTCTTCTGCTCTTCTTCCTGCTTCCCCTCCTTGGTGTCCTGGCGCTGCTGCTGCTTCTCCAGCTCCAACTGAAAGTTTTGAGCCCTCTGCATATACGAATCTTCGCAGGTTTTTAGCCAATTTTGAACGAAACGGTCTTCCATGGGCGGCGGCCCACTGCAGGAGGGCTCCTCCTCATCCTGCTCCTGCTGCTGGCGCTGGTATTGGTCCCGTCCAATACGCTGGGCATTCAGTGCCCGCTGATTGCGCAGATAGGCCTGACGCTGTTCAGTGGTCTGAAAGGTGGCACGCCAATCCTTGACGAAATTATAGTCATGATCCACCGGCGGCTTCACCTGGGTAAGATCCCCCTGGCACACCAAGGCCTTCACATTGGCATAGGTCTGGTATTCCTGGGTATAGTAAACCTGCGGCAAATGTGGATAAAATTCCAGGTTGCTGGCAAAGTAGGGCTCATTTTTGATGTGCTTGTCCTGTCCCGATGACTTGTCCTGGTCCGAATTATCGTTGGGTTTATCGACGTTGCCACTGTCATTGCTGTTGTTGGTGTTCATCTGCTCCATGGTCTTCCCAATGGCTTTGAGGCCGGTCAAGGTGCGGCACAGGTCACTCACAGTGATCTGGGGTGCCTTGTAGGTCTTGTACTTCAAGGGTTCCACGTAGATTCCCGGCTTCTTGTAGATCCTGGAGGTTTGGTACTGCTTGAAGGCTTGGTACTGCTTGGAGGCTTGGTACTGCTTGGAGGCTTGATACTGCTTCGTTCCTTGGTCAGACTTGGGTCCTTGATAGGTCTTGGGGCCTTGGTACGGGTTGGGAGCTTGATAGGTTTTGGGTCCTTGGTATGGCTTAGGGGATTGATAGGTCTTGGGGGCTTGATAGGTCTTAGGTCCTTGGTATGGCTTGGATCCTTGGTTAAAATTATTATCAAACTTCTCGTCGGGATTTACCTTCTGGCGCCAGTTGGAGTTATCCACTTGATTGTAGTTCTGCCCTTGTCTGAAATTTTTACCCTGCTTGTTCTGCTGACCCTGATTGTATTTTTTACCCTCGTTGTATCTCTGATTTTGGAAGGATCTTGACTTTTGGTAGGTCTGCGGTCCTTGGTAAGTCTTGAGTTCTTCGTTGGTCTTTGGTCCTTGGTTGATGTTTGCTTCTAGTTTGTAGGTCTTTGGTCCTTCGTTGATCTTTTGCCCTTCGTTGGTCTTTGGTCCTTTCTTGTTCTTTGGTCCTTGGCTGATGTTTGCCTTGTGGTTGGCCTTAGACTTTTGGTAAACCCTTGGCTTTTGGTAGATCGTCCTCTGCTCTTCGTTGGCCTTCGGTCCCGGCTTCTGGTTCTTCGTCAAGGCGCCGTCCTGGTAATCTGCAAAGCTCTTGTTAGTCTGTAAGTAGAATAATTCCCTTGGAATTCGTTCTTCAAATATTATATTTTTTTTATTTTACCCATACTTTAGTTTGTTTCTTTTGGGTATTCACACGATACATCTTTCGTAGCTACTTAGAAAAATCTGCCAAAAGGAATAAGAAAAAGGGTTGTTTTAATTATTATTTATTTGTTATACTATTGTTATACTATTTATATTTATTAACATTATTTATTTATTAGAATTTATAAATGTTAGCTTTGCTTTTTTTATTTGTTTTATAATTATTTTATTTATTATTATTATCGTTCATAATTATTATTTATTAATAATTATTATCTTCTTTTTGTTGTCTTATTCTTTCTATAGTTTATCGTTTTTATTATTATTTTAATTATTTTCTTTGGTCAGACATTTTGATTTTAGCTTTTTTTAATTTTCCTTTTCACTGAAAATTCTATGAACGTCATTTTGTTTTTGTTTTTCCTTTTCTTTTTTTCTTCTGCAAGTCAAACAATTTTCTGCAAGTTATACACAAATTTTCATGCACGAAAAAATAGCTTATTTAATTAAGAACACAATTTTTATTACTTTTACAGCCTTTTCCTTGCAGAAAACATGAATTTTTAATCATATTTTGCAATTAAATTAAATAATTGCCAAAGAATTGTTCACAGGTCTGTTTTTTAACACACTTTTAGCTTGTTACTTACCTCTTGTTTCGAGGGGAAGGAATTCTTTACGTGTTGCTAAGAGGAATTCCTTATTTTCTGAAATTTGCCAAAGGGATTCTTCAGGTTTTACTCTATGGCGACTTGGAAAGATTGCTCGTTTCTAGGATTAAACGCCTTTACTTAGCAAGAGTCCAAAGAAATTATTTTCTTAACTTTCACAGATTTTTTTTTCAAGTTTTCTTTCTTTTTTTCAGGAGCACACTTCTGCACTTGTCAACGATTCCGGTGGAAAGGGAAGAAAGTCAGTACCTTTTTGTTGAGGTTAATTAATATCGATAGCCTTAGAAAGGAAACCCTAACCATATCGGTGAAACCCTACTCTCATGACTATCGTTTTAGTTTAACGATTTCTTAAATGCTTTAACTGCCAATAAGAAAGCATTCAAATTTCTTGGTTAAAAATCCATAAAACTTGATGCCTCCTCCTATTGAAAATAGTGGAGGCAACTGTACTAAAGGAGACCAGGAACCCCGTGCCAGGAAGAGTGGAGGCAACTGTACTACTTACGGAACAATGTACAGTACACTTTATTTCGTTAAAATATGTTAGTCATAAGGTTACCTGCAATAAAATGAAGTCTTAGTATTCAGCGCAAAACAAATAAGAACTCTTACCATAAGTTTTTAGCTTTTAGTTTTGAAGAAACTGTACTTGCCGCATTAATAAACGATAACTGCAAGGCATTACTCCTCAATACTTGAGCCGAGTGGGGGGTGTAGTGACCTATCCCAAGGTTACTAGGTTTAAATCAGCTCTCCTTCCCCCGGAAGGTTGAAATATTTTACTACATTTTTATATTTTCGCTTTGTTTGTCCGCTGAGTGTGACCTGCGCATGCGCACAGTTTTGGTGGCCAATTTTAGGGCTGCCAATCTATCAAAATGTACCAGTAACCAGAGTGGCCATATCAAAAAACATTTAAAATATATATTAAAAATATTATTATTAGTTTATTTCCTTTGAGTTCAAGTTTAAAAATCTTGCAAGCAATGCTTTTGTTGTTCCGCCTCTTTGTGCTTTCTTTATTGTTTATTGTTAACGATTTCTTTTTAACTTTTTCAATATTTTTCCTCTCCATCGAGTTGAAGCTCACGTTGCCGCTTAGTTGATAACCGAACGCCTTTCCGAGCGGACTGCGAAAAGTACAAAAACAATACAAAAAAAAAATACAAACAAAACTTAAATATAAAACCAAATTAAAGCCAGAGTGAAAATCAAGTATGAAACTGGGTTAATATCTGTTCTGTTCCTCAACTAATGGTGAGTGTATGGATTTATTTAAAAAGTTTAAAAATTACTTAGCCCACTTTTTACGTAATTTCCCAAAGTCTCGAACTTCTTTGTTGCCATTTCGAAAACCAAACATGACACAGTGACACCATTCCGCGCCTCCGTGCTCTCTTTTTTCTTTCACGCCGCTGAGATAATTTTTGTTTGCATCTCTCCCAGCGACTCCATTTGTTTATAAACAAATTGTATATTTATTTTTTCTGGTTTTTTTGTTGCTATATATTTATTTTTTGCGTGCGTTCTAATTTGAAACTTTAAAGTGTGACTCAAGTGCCTGGCATGTGCACAGCAAGAACAATATTTGTGCTGAATAAATACCATTTTTGGGCTAAATTTTAGCTTTAGAATATAATTATAAATATTAAAAATTAAAATAATAATAAAATGTATATAAATAAATATTTTTGGAAGGATTTTAACAAATTTAACAATCCAACTTTTGCTTTAGAAAATACTAAAGATTTTTAGCAAGATTTTTGTAAGATTTTAGTAGAGATTTTAATAATAGTTTTCATTAGGATTTTAGAAAAGACTTTATTATAATAAATAAAAAACTGTAAAATTCAAATTCAAAATAGGCTTATGAGATTTTTTTTAGAGAAGTTGCTATGGTTTTAAATATAGACTTAACTAGAGGTATTTTTTTTTCAATTTAGCAAGTCAAATAAATAGAGATTATTTAAGACATTTCCTTAAAAAAACCTTAACATAATATAATTTTTTATATTTATAAGATAAAATTATATATTATATATATTTAATAATATTTTTTGCGGCGTATTAAACCTGAGACGCAATTGACAATGGCATTGGCCAAGTGGGTCTACCCGCTGCGATGCACTTCATCCGCTGGATGCGCCTTTTAAACATTTGCTAATTTCAAATTCAGAAAATTATAAAATTGAAAAATATATAAAATATATATATATATATATATATATATATATAATAGATATATATAAAAAACTATATAAAAAATAAATAAAGCAAAAGTTTAGTACGTGCTCTCGACAGCCTCGCGCTTTCCAAAGTCGCTATCTCCAGTCAAGCGGCTTGTTTAGAATTTTCAGCTCAAAACAAAACGGAAAGCAGAGTGTTTTGCTTATCAAAAATGAAAGTAAAATAAAATAATCTAAAAACAAAAACGCAGCCAGTCGAGTTTGCAATCAAAGCAAAAAGCTTAAGGCTAGCCAAGTTCTGCGCCCGCTGACCAAAGCAAAGCGTTTAGCTAAGAATTAGCCACTAGAAAAATATTTTAAAAAAATATTAGTACTAAGAAATAATTAAATATTTATTATTAATTAATTTAAGAAAATAAAAATATACATTTAGAGGTATTTTCGCACTTTTTACCTATCCCAAGATCACCTTAAAGCCTTACCTAAATGGAGTTTATTCAGAAAATAGCCCCTAAAAAATATTTAAAAAATATATTAGTAATATGAAATAATTAAATATTTGTTATTAATTAATTTAAGAAAATAAAAATATACATTTAGAGGTATTTTCGCGCTTTTTACATATCCCAAGATCACCTTAAAGCCTTACCTAAAAGGGGTTTAGCTGAGAATTCGCCACTAAAAATATTTTAAAAAATATTAGAAAAAATATATTATTAAATATTTATTATTAATTTATTTAAGAAAATGAAAATATATACTCACAGACATTTTCACACTTCTTACCTTGCTCAAGATCACCTTAAAGCCTTACCTAAAATGGGGTTACCTGATCCTTTTGTTTATTTGTTTTGCAAGCCCTTCCCCACTGACCTGCACAGTGGCTCAAGGATCGCTATAAAGTGGAAAACAAATATGAGGGCAGGTAAAACCCAAGGTAAATCCCAGCCAGACACGCGTCTGCTTGTCCTGAGCTCAGACGACGTCTGGGTCCTGGTGGTTCCTAACTACCTGATAAATACTACTGGGCCCGACCGCTTATCGGTCACAATGTGTTTTTAATCTATTTTTTACAGCCCTTGTAATTCCTTATAAATATGCGTATATAAGGGCATCCTGGTCAGTTGACTTCTTGACCCGTCACAGTGAGGTCCTGCGAAGAAATAGTAATCCAAAGTAAAAAGAAAAAGTTTTCAAGTTATGCAAGTTCAAAGAAAATTTATAATTATTATTTTGTGAACAAATATCAAACAAATATGACTTAAAAGTGTTAAATACAGTGAGCATTATAATTACAAAAGTATTAAAAAATTAAAACAAGAACAAATAATTGTAATTATAAAAAGTATCAAATGAAAATAAATTAAAAATAATTAAAGGAAAAGGAATATCTCCACAAATCATTAATTTTGGGTAAGTGGCATTTCATTTTATTAAAAATATTAAATATTTAGTTCTTTAATATTTTATAAATATTTATTTAAAATTAAATAACTATTTTTAAATATGATAAAAATATATAAAGCATGAATAATTAATTTCTCTTGTTAGAATTGATGTGAAATATTAATTTTAAATTAATTTTATATATTTTATATTATTATAATATTTAATAAAAATTATATATATAAAACATTTTTTATAAATAATTATAAAGCATAAATAATTAATTTCTCAGGTTAAAATCGAGCTAAAATTAAATGTATATAATATTTAGTTTATTTTATGCTAAAAATATTTGTAAATAATCCCTTTAATATTTATAAGTAAACCCCATTTGGCCAATGCCAAAACCACTGTCCCTCACAGCTGTTGAGAGAAAGCTTTTTGATAAAAATACCGCCAAGAGATAGGTTGTGAGAGAGAGAGAGAGAAATAATGGGGGCTCCTCCATGACCATGATGATGACACCCGAATTGGGTTAGGCGCAATATATCCCCAAGCAGGCTGCTGCTGCCTGTCCCGTGTGCGAACCTTATTCCGAGGCATGCGTCAGCGAAGCTGCCGTTTTCTTTGTCTTCGGTGAACACCGGTGTGTCTGTGACGCCAGCAGCGACGCCAGCAGCGACGTCGACTGCAAAGGCAAAGGCACTGATATGATAATACCCTAAGTTAAAGACTCTTGAAGAACTAGGGTTCATTATGATCTGCACATTTATGTGAGAAAACTCTTTATTTATTAGGAGATTTCTTAAATCTTTAAAAACAGCCACCCAAAAATAGGCTTTGATTTTTATTAAGGACAAAGAACATTAAAAATTGTTATAGATATTTTTAAGAACACTTTTTAAATTAAATTTTAAATTTAACTCCTTCTATTTAAAAAAAGCAAAAGTCATTAATTATTTTAAAAGAGTTTTCTTAAATCTTTAAAAAAAGCCACCCAAAAGAAGACTTTGATTTTTATTGGGTACCAAAATCCTTAAATATTTGTATATATGTATATATTTAATTACACTTTTTAAATTAAAGCCTTGAACTCCTTTACCCATTTCAAAAAAGCAAACTTTTAGATAGTATTTAGGGTCTTAAATTCATTACCAAGTGGGAAAAGCTTTTTGTAGCATACTTTTAGACTGGATTTGTAGTCCTTCAAAGCATACTATGATATATGTTTATAGAAATATAGCCAGAGAGATCTTTTCATCTGAAGAATTTTAGAAACAACACATAACATATAACACTAAAACTAGAAGCCATGATATTATTTCCTCTAAAAAAGTGATAACTGTATTTCTATCTATAGTATATATATATATATGTACATGTACCAGGTATCTCTTAGTCGGGTTAATGGCCGAATTTCATGCTCGCTGCTGGCCTGCCTGCTCTCCTGCGCATTTGAACTCTCGATATATTCTTGGAATTATGCACAAAGACCGTAGTGCTATATAGAGATACTATATAGACTATGGGCCACTTGTGCAGTGTGTGCATTCCGCTTGAGAGAGAGCGAGAAAGAGAGATAGCTCTGCCGCTCTGCCTGCGGCGACAGCAGCGGCGACATCAGCAGCAACAGAAGCAGCAACAATTTGCTTTCAGTTCAATTTTTGAGCTTCAATCATTCGGCGGGCAATTTGTTGTTGTTGGTTCCAGCGGTCAGGCGTTATATTCTCGTTAATATTTTAAATATTAATAGTGAATTGGGTTTAAATTTGTTTATATTTTTTGCTGTTCAAGAACAAGTGTAAATTCACAAAAAAGGAACTGGTGAAATTTTACTGTCGAGTGCTGCGTAGATCGTCGAAGTGACGTCAAAGGGGAAATACAAACATACCATAAACGCTAGTCTTTGTGTGGTTTTTCCCCAAAATTAAAATTTAATTTATGAAACTTCAAAATATGCGAGTTTTGCTGATGCAACGCCAAGCAATAGTGACGCAAATAGAACAAGGTGCAACACATGTTGCAGCAGCAATATCAGCAGCTAGACAAGTGAAAATTGCCTAAAACACAGACGGAATATTAAAAAGCAATTGCATTTGCAACAAGAGTTGCCATTATTGATATTAAATCAGCTGGAAAAACAGTATCCAGCAACAGCAGCAACAACAGGGAAAGCAGCAGCAGCAGCAACATGCTGCTAGCGGAAATCGCTGGCAACAAGGAAAACATGCTCAAGCGGAAAACGGAGCAGGAGCAGGAGCAGCAGCCACAGCTGCAGCGCAAGCAGCACAAGAGCAACATTAGCAACAGCAGCAACTTTAGCAGCAACAGCAGCAACTTCAGCATCAACAACAACTTCAGCAACATCCTCAACAATCACTATCAACCGAGAATGTATTACAATTCGAATTCGAGACCTTTTTGGATGACATTAAGAGCAACAACAATGAGTCCACCAACGACAACAATAACAACAACAATATTTAGCAGTAACAACGATCACAGCAATGCAGCAGCAGCAACAGCAGCAGCAGCAACATGTGAGTTTGTGATGATTTCCTTCTTTTGCTTATTTCTCCGCTTATTTTGCGTGTTGCGCTTTAATCGCACGCTTCACGTTTCGGGGTCTTAAACAAAACAACACCAACACACCAACACCAGCAACAATATAAATATAAATAATATAATAATAATAAAAGCAGCTGTGCACACTTGCAGCAATCAGCTGAGTGCCAGCCAAAAGGCACAGTGGCACGAAACAGTTGCCTCAAAGCGTGAACTTTCAAAGCCATTTTTTTGCTTTGATAAAAACCATTAAAAATATAAAAATAAAATATTTATAAAGGTTATTTAATATTTAGTATTATTTATAGTTTAGTTTTCAAGTATAAATCATTTTAGTGATTAAATCGGGGTTTTGCTTGGGTTTTTAATTAATATTTTGTTTTATATTTTTAAATTTTATATATGATATTTTTTTGTTAAGTAAAAATTAAAAAATTCCATAACTTAGTCAAATAATTAAGGTTAATAGCTCATCATTCTTCATATTAATTTTTTTAATTTTTTAATAAAATTTTTAATTTAATTTAATTAATTTTAATTTATTCAATTTTAAAAATTTTAATTACTGTTTTTTAAATTAATTTCATTTTAATTAAAAATTTTATACATTTTTTACAATTTTAAATTTTGAAAAAAAAAATGAATAAAAAATTTTAGTGGAAAAATTGAAACTTTAAAATTTAATAACTAAGCCAAAAATGCCTTAATTTTAATTCGGAAAACTGTTCTAAGCTAGATTTTAATAGGTTAATAACTCTGCATACTTAATTTAAATTAAAATTTTTGATCAATTTTTTAAGAATTTTAATGATGTAACCCCTTGTAAAATTTTTGAAAAAATTAAAAAAATTTTTTTTGTTCCAAGATGGCTTAAAATACTCTCCAGTCGATGCTGATCAAGAATATATATGGTTTATAGGGTCGGAAATGACTCCTTCACTGCCTTAGAAGCTTTTGACTGAAATTATATTAACCTGAAATACTGAAATTATGATGTAAAAAAATATTTAAAAAATTGTTCTACCTTGGTAAACAAAAAAACCAAGTTCGTAGGTCGCCACAGAAAAGTGTTCCCCGATTTCGTTAAACAATAAATGCAAATATCAGCTTTTTTGTAACAAAATAATGCCAGCAACTCATGAATTTCTAAACCACCAAAAGCTTTGTTTAACCATTTTTCCACCAACTGGATTTCAATAAATAAATAATAAATAATGCAAATGAACTGGGGCAACAGTTTGTTCCAGTGTAACCACCAAGGTTACCAGGTCAACATGCCCAGCTTGACCGGTCAGGGATACTTTGGCCTCGGCTCCCCCACATCTTGAGCTGGAAAATAAAAAGGAAAACGCAAACATCGTCATCATCGTCACATGCAATAAATGCGCCGGCACTCAAACAACAATAATAAATACTATATATATATATATAAAAAGAGAGAAAACATTAACAATAATAACAAAGAAAGAGCGAGAGGGAGACAGGCAACGCACTCGGCGAGGTTAAAGTACGGCAATGAACTTCGGCGACGAAAGAAAAGTTTGTTTTCGAGGTTGAATTTAATGGCCCCAAACCGGAGGATAAGAGGGCAGGAGAAATGGGGAATCTCGTTTTTATTTCTTTTCCTTTTTTTGCATATATTTTTTTTGGCAATGGCATTGGCATTTGGTCGCGCTCTCCTGCTCGCTCTTCTCTAAATTTCTTCTTTTTTTTTTTTGTGCCAAAAACATCAGCCGTTTCTACTTAGCGCCCCATATCGAAAGCTCCCAAAATTAAATAAACAATAGGTTCAATGCACCTGAAGACGCAGTAGAATTCAATTTGCTTCGAAAGCTCCAATCAGCCGCAAAAAAAAAGGCACTCGAAAAAAAGTTTTATTGATATCGATACTATTAATAAATGTAATAATAATCGATAAAAAAATTCCACTAAATTCGGTTTATTTGCCAATCGATCGATTATCGATACAAAGCACTTATATTCTTATATTTATTATAAGACGTTATAATATTTGACTTTACAAATTTCAAATAATTTTAAAAAATCGATAAAAAAAATGTTGAATCGATCAATTTTCGATACAAATCAGATAATTTCTTATATTCTTAATGAAGCTTAAATACATTTGGACATAATATTTGCCTTAACAACTTTCAAATAATTTTCATTAATTTTAAAAACAACTATATTTCTATTTTTTAATATATATTATATAAAATCTCAAGTTATGATACGTCAAAAATATACAAAATATTACATAATTTCATTTCTAATTTCCTAAAAAATATATTAAATATACACCCTTTTCTCCCAGTGCCCATACAAATGCAGAAAAGAAAGCTCCAGACACAAACACACTAAAAACATGGCCTTTTTCCATATCTTGGCGAGCTTTTCACTCCGTTTGGCCTTCAGAACCAGCCTCAACTTGCACTCGGAAATGTAAATCGCAAATCGCAAATCGCATTTAATTCACAAACACACCCATAAACACACACATACACCCGTACACACACCATAAATACACATTGTATGCACTGCTAATTAAATGGTCAACAAAGCGCAATTGATTAACTCAATTTAAAGCGCATCGAACTAATGGAAAGGTTTACCTCACAGCAAGATCTTAACTAAATTAAAATGCAATTTAAACACTTGAGACTTTCTATGGAAAATAAATTAAGAAAAGCTAAAAATACAATGCAATGAAAAGCAATTAAATATAATATGATAATAATACTTAATATTTATTTATTTATTTTAGAGATAAATTCAATGATTACTCACTTGTTTTTCTCTAATTTCTATTTTCTATTTATAATTTTTTAAAAATTCTACCAAAATGAAATACCCTATTTTTTAATTAATTCTAAAATAAATACTTTATAATTTATACTTTTATTTATTTTGTATATATTTAAGAAATTTCATTAAGGCATTTATTAATTTAAAATATAATTTCTATCATAACTTTGCTATATTTAAAGGAAGTTTTTCTCTATTTTCTTTTTCTCTATTTAATTTTATTTTTTTTTTTAATAAATACTTTATAAACTACACATTTTTTAAATTTGTATATATTAAAGAAATTTCATTAAGTCCTTTTAATAAAATAAATTAATATTTAAAATATAATTTCCATCATAACTTTGCTATATTTAAAGGAAGTTTTTCTCTACTTTCCATTTACCATATCTATATTTTTATAATCCTATAAAAAGGCAAAACCCAATTGGTAATTAAATTTGAAATAAATACATTTATAAGCTCCACATTTATTTAATTTTTTACAATTTACATTGCTTAAATCCCTGCTTATCCAACCAAGAAAGAGGATTAACCATTGGCGAGCCAATTAAATGTATAAATTCAATAAAGCAAAACTAAACTTCCGCACGAAAAGTGCATCTTGTCTCGTTTCGATTTCCGCATTTATAAGCCAACTTTATCTTAATTTTTTTCTTAAGTTTTGCTTTTATTTTATTTTATTTTGGTTACTCCTTTGGGACACACGACTGGCGGCAGGTGGTGGCTCCAATCTCCGCCTCCCTTTTTTATTTTATTTTTATTTTTTTTCGCCAGGAAACATGTTTAAAAAAACCATAATCTCTTCATGAAAGTCATGGGTGTGTGTGTGTGTGGATATTACTTCCTGTGCCTTGTGGCAGATGAACAAAGAGCACAGAGAGACAGGAAGTCATGGCAAGAAATGTAAACACAATTCACTGTCGTTCTTAATATTGCTTTTATTATTGTTTATTTTTAATTTTTCACGCCCCGATCGGCCATGAGAGTCGCCGCCATATGCATATTGACGATAATTTGTAATTTAATAAAGATCGGGGCGCCATATATGCTGGATTTAAGGGTATAAAAAAAAACTTGGTGGACATTCTTGATGGATTATTTATTAAAAATATAAGATTTGTTTGTAAAATTTAAGAAAATATATTTTAAGTTTTAACAGACTTAAGGGGGTCTTCTCATTGGGCAACTTTTTTTTTTCGATTTTTTTTTTTTTTGCATTTATTTATAGCTTGGGATGGTGTGTATATGTCCCCAAAAGGATTTTTGGAAATTCGAAATACTTTAGAAGATATAGCCTTTTTTGTGAAGCAAGATCTATGCAAAATGAGCTTTTTTCAAACTTCAAACGCGTTTATCTCGAAACCACGTTTTTCGAACTGGCGGCCATGATATCTCCAGTTCAACTGAACCGATTTTCATGAAACAAAGTGGAATCGACGCAGAATTGTCACCATTTTCGGCTGACGGAACAGATTTTTTAAAAAATTTTTTTCTATTTTTTTTTTACACTAAACTACAAAAAAAACGCCCGAAATCGAATTTTTTTTTTGAATGGCCGCCATTTTGTTTTAAAAATTTTTAAAAAAAATCTGTTCCGTCAGCCGAAAATGACATCTATTCTGATTATAACCCCGTTTTTATTTTTCATTTCGGACGCTCTGGAGACCCTGAATCGTGGCCGCCAGGACGACACCTTTTTTTCGACCACCAAGTTTGAAGTCTCATTACTCTTTGAACAACCCTCGTATCGAGGCAAGAACAACTTTTTTAGTTACTTTGAACATTTTTGAATACAATAAATAAAAAAAGTTTTCAATTATTCTTTGCGTTTTCAAATAAGAATTTTTTTAAAAAGGGTCCAAAAAACGGCTTTTGAATGAGAAGACCCCCTTAAGTCCCTTTTTATTTAAATATTTTTTATTTATTTTAAGATATTTACTTTCTATTAAATGCCTTAAATTTCTTATATATTTGCTAAATAATTTAAGATTTGTTTGTAAAATTTACGAAAATATATTTTAAGTTTTAACAGACTTAAGCCCCTTTTTATTTATATATTTATTTTTAAATTTAAGAAATTTTCTTACTATAAATGCCTTAAATTTATTATTTATTTGCCAAGAATATTTTTAAAAGTTTTTTAATAATTTAAGCTTTGTTTGCAAAT